GTATTCTGCTTAACAATGCCGTTGTGTCTACGTACATTACCAACTCTATTTCGACCATTCCGGGATATTTCCTGATCAGAGAAGTTTCTTTCAAAATTTTCTGAATCTTTCAGGGGATTATAAAACTCAATATTTGATTTCTTATTGCTGTTAATCTTAACAAAAGAGCCTTCTGTTTGTTCTAATGCAACATATTTTTCTCCTGCATTGACTGTCGTTTCTTGATTTACATCCACATCATCCGTATGATCATTTGTACAGACACCACACTCAGGGTTTAAATCATTCACATCATCTGTTATTTCTTCTATCATTATTGACTCTTCTATTCCCATTTCAGATAGTTTCTCCAGCATATTACCTTCTTGTTTCATTCCAGAAAATTTACAATTCTATTTATCAACTCTTTAAAACGCCAATGAATGTTTTAGTCTGAAACATGGTTTCATTGGTTTCACAACCATCAATAATGATGGATTTGGCTGGACGATATATTAGACAGTAATAAATGTTATTATATTGTAGCCTAAAAAATTGTTCTGATCTGAAACACTTGCTCTGCTATCTTATTGCAAATTTCAGAATAATCTAGATTTGTATGACAATCAGATATGTAAGATCATTCAAGTATATGTTTGCTACCTTTTAAAAACATTCCTGTTGATTTCCATGATAAATAATTTAACTGAATATTTTGAAATATTTCAATACCATCAGAAAGAGAAGGATCGTCAAACAAAATTGGAAATATTTAACTTCATACAAAATTGTCAATTCAAAGGTATTTGTCTTGTATGCAAGGAATTGAGTTGTGACAAGATTTGTGAAAGTTGCCTACATTTAGTTGAATTGAAAGCTGATGCTTTCATAAGTGGCAATAGCACCAATTATGACAATGCTTTTAGCATGAAGGATGAGAAATGCAAAGAAATATCAGAATTTATAAAAAATATTCAATGTGATAGGAATTTTGATCAAAGAAATCACTTTTTTAATATCTGTGATTTTGTACTATTGGATGGAGGAAAATGCTATTCCTTTGTCAAAATCCAACATAAGAAATCCAAGTTGTATGAAGATATACCAGTAGATGGTGAAGATGCTAATATACTGTCAGTTAAAACTATAGGAGCCATCCATTTTGGGAAAATTGTTTCTCTATATGATCTTAAAATGAATTTTCCAGATTTGGAGATTTATTTTAAAAACTTGATTAAAATCAATAGGATTCATAACAACAAAGATTTTTATAAAAAACGGATTCAATCGAAAATTGATTTAATCAATCAGCAAATAGAAAACAACATGTCCAATCTGGAAAATGCAATCAAAAACAACAGGATAGATGATGCAGAAGTATTCAAATCAGTAAACTTAAATCTATTTGATATGAAAATTGAATTGATGAAAAGAAAGGGAAGTATATAGGTTAAGATATGATGTACTGTGATTGATAATACCAGATGCAGTTAATGCTTACCTATAGAGCTACAATGAATTTCATATAATCACTGGTTATTTCTAATATGGCATTTACTCGTCAATAGTATACATAATCACTGAAAAATGCTAATACAAATAGCTTTCTGTATTTGAAAAGCATTTAAGAAGAAAATTCCTAGAACATTCACCAAAATAAATTTTGTTCCTGATATATTTATTGACTTGATTTCACACAATCACTAATTAAATCCCTAACACTCCTTACAATAGTTTCATCAACTGATCTCACTCTAATTTCTACATTTTTGCATTCGCTTAAACAAACGTTTATTAGAACATGGGCTTTTTTGATGGTAAAGCAAGCCACATTTGCCACTAAAAAGTTGTATGCCTTTTCTTTGTTACATAATCTCCCATTTACAGCCTTTATAATATTGTTCAATACAAGATCCATGTCCGGAAAGACAGATGTTAGAGAATAAATACTTTCCCACTCTAACTTCTTCCAATTCTGTGAAAAATCTGCAGAGGCACCCTCAAGGAATTCTCCTATGTCTATTTTAATCTCTCCCAAACTCAATTCGAATGGTCTGGATCCATATTCACCCTCGTTTGGATATCTGAAAAGAATTGTACCCGCTATAAAACAGTTACTACTCTCCAATATAGAGAATTTCGTCTTGAAAGTAATGGCTGAATTTGGTTGTAGGGAGGTTAGGCACTTACCCTTCAAATGCTTAAGATGCTTGGAGTGTGTAAAATTGATCCCCATATCTTGCAGATAGGAATTTGTTTGGTTTATTATTAGCAAATCCAATACACATTCATACTTTGAATAGGAGAGATTGCATTCCACATACAAGGGCTCGCCCAAACCAGTAAGCTGAACAACAGTTTCTTTCATATCCATCGATCCATCCCATGAAAAGTGTTTTCGTGAGGGAAACATACTAATAGCATCAAAACTTATGGGATCTAGCACATCCCTATGGACTAAGCTGTAATCTGTTTTAACACTCTGTGGAATCTCATTGGAATTGTTTAGTAGTGATCTAATAGCCGTCACAATTGTAGAATGTGAGGAAGTATCCATTAAATGATACAATCTCCCATAGTCTATGAATCTCAATAGAATTCCAATGGTCTTTGCCTTCATATCCCATTCTTTCTTATACATAGTTGCTAGACTCACACAGATATGAGTTCCTAAGAATACCTCCTGATCCATGGAAAGATAAAGTGGGGCATCATATTCCCCAACTTTCATACTAGATGGAATGGAGGAATTATTAGCATTATCTTGATTCTCAACCTCATCCAAATCTTCATTTGGACTACATTTGTCAAAATCAGATGACAAATTTTCCAATAATTTCATAAACTGTTCTTTATCGCAGCTTAGGCTGATTATATCGAATGTAAATCGGACTAGCTTTCCAAACCTCATTTTGTGGAGAGCATCGATCAATCTATCAATTATGTTTGTTTGTTTCTCAAGCTTATTTGCTTCTATCGCATATAAAAACTTCAATCCTGCATAGACTGTGTCAGGATTGTCAGAGATAATGTTCTCCAGACAGCAATCCACCACTTCATTTTTGTAAACACAATGAGAAGAAGTAAATACTGTCATCTTATCAAGAAGCATAATTCTATATAACTTCCTAGGCTCTGAAGAATCATTAACCTCTATGTATGCAGAGTATAGAATATCGACCAATCTATAGAAATCTTGAGTTTCTACGTGCTTTATTGCCTGATCGATGATTTTGGATGAAAAGGCAAATTCAAAAGGATCTAGTAATGTCAAAAACTCTATTATCTCAAGCCCCGTAAGATAATCAATATATGTCACAAAGTCAGCCTTGAATGTACTATCTAATGACAAAATAGAAATGATTTGATCGTTATTAATGGTCTCCTCATTCACCAATAACTTACAGGATGCTTTAAAAACAACACTTGGGAATTCTAATTCTATACATTTTTTAAGGAAATGGATATCATCAGTTTTATCAATAAGAAGTTCCAAAACATCCACAGAATAGTTTGTATTCAAAAACTCTTCAATGTTAATGGATAATCTATCCATCGAATGAAAAATCATAGAAACTACCATAGAATTGCTTTCTTTATAAAGTAAGCTGATGAGATCTTGATCCACATCCACCTCAAATCTGATTGCTAACTCCGTCAAACAGTGCACGGCATTTTGTCTAACATAATAGCACTTGTGTTTTAGGTTGTCCCTCACCAGACTAAGGTTGATATGGTCGAAATTTTCTATTTTTGAGGTCAATCGTAAAGCAAATCCCCTAACAAACTCATTAGGACTGGACAGGTCCTTGTTGACCTGATTTATACACATGATGAAGCTTGATTCTTGCACAATAGTCTCAAAATAGTAGTAGAGTAGTCTCTTGTGGGAATTGTTATTTGATGACATAGTTGTTGTAATTAGAATATGGAGTAGATCCTTGTTAAAGGTTCCCATAGATTGCTGAGAAATTAGAATCTTAAGTGCCAATTCAGGATTTTTCATGACAAGCTTTGAGTCGACTGACTGCTGACCAAAGTCAAGTAACAATGTTTGGGCCATTGGGGCTAAAAAACAAAACGACTTTAAGTAACTAACTAAAAAGACTACACACTATAGATTAAAATTTCAGCATATACATTTTCATATCCCCTACAACTTAAACTTATGACAAACATATTTTTACTCATATTATTTTGTCTAAACTTCTCTTCCATTATTCAAATGATTGCTAATGATACTTTGAAGATGAATAGAGCTGTGATTTTTAGTAAAGCACAAGAGTTTTTTATTTTTTAAAAAATTTACTCCCCAATGTCCACTGTTTCGATAAGAGAGAAAGAGCAAATTAAAATTGCAGAGGTGGCAATTGAATCGCTAAAGAAGATTCAGAGTGGGTCCTCAAGGCCACACATATTGATTGGTCATAGAAATAAAGCAGCATGTGTTTATGAATTAAGTACGGACTTGACCAATAAGGAATCCAGGATTATTAAATCTTTTGGTGGCCATCTCAAGGGAGTTACTAGTGCGATTTATGCCCCAAGTGGAGATAAGGTAATAACAGCATCAGGTGAGTTTGTTTTTGTCCACGGTTCAACACCTGCGGAGCTCCAAAAGTTTGAAGGACATTCACGAAATATTACATCTCTGGCTATTAATAAGGAGAACAATAAAATAGTATCTGGCTCGCAAGATCATTCATTTATCTTGTGGAACACAAAAGGTAAAGAGTCTGCACGCTATACATCAGCACAAAATGGACATAAGGGGTGGGTTAACCAAGTTGAATTTATTCCAGGCTCAGATGAGCATTTGGCGACCTGTAGTGATGATGGAACAGTCAAGATCTGGGATTTGCAGACTGAATCATTGCTTAAAACATTTATTGATGGAAAATATGTCGATATTCAAGCTCTTGTGGAATCCAAAACTAAATTTAATGATAATAACACTGACTTGGCAGTCAAAGCCATGTGCTTTTCCAATGATGGATCTTTGATGGTATATGGTGGTAGAAATGCCAAGGTATTTATAGTCAACCTGACCCATAATGAATGCTTACAAAACATTGCAGTTTCTGGTAGGGTTACAGCCCTGGCTTCTGGTGAAAATCAGCCGTTGATTGCAATCGCCATTCCTAATAAGATTATGTTCTGGAATATTATTGAAAATAATTTTGTAGGAGAATTTGTATTTTCGGAGAAGGGTGAATGCTACTGTACGTCAATGATATTTTGTGGAGATGAGTTGCTTGCTGGACTTTGTACTGGAACCTTATTAAGATTAGAAATATCAAGAAATTAAATAATTTTAAGATTTATATTTTTATCTATTACCACAATTAAACTTAAACGATCACCTCTCTGCAGTTTATTACTTTTTACGCTTATCTCATGCTGTTTGTAGTGTATAATCAATGATGCTCATTGCTGAGGCTGTTTCCTGAAGTGACCATCAGGATATTCTTGTTCAAAAATTATCCCACATGGATTTTGGCTTTCCAAAAGAACTTTATAGCATTCAAAGAAAATTTATTGAAGATGCCAAGGCAGTTGTTGAGAAGAAAGAAGTAGGTGTGTTTAGTAGTCCAACAGGCACTGGTAAAACACTCTCACTTTTATGCACAGCCATGAATTTTATACAAAATGACGAGACAGACGATTTATACTCATTACTGAATAGAAAATCACGGACCAAAATATATTATTGTTCCAGAACCCATTCCCAGCTGAATCAGGTAATTAATGAGCTAAAAACAAATAGGTTCAATTACAAAACTGTAATTTTGGGTTCTAGATCGGTTTTATGCATTAATGAGAAGATTGACACTATAAAAATGGGAATTGATGCAATTAATGACAAGTGTAGGGAGTTACAAAGATTGAACAAATGTGAGTATCGTTGCAAGAGTATTAGAAGTCCCGATGATCTATATTACAGTAATCTGAGCATGGATATAGAGGAAATTAGGCTTGAGGGCAAAGCAAATAAATTTTGTCCATATTACTACTCAAAAGATAGAGGTGCTGAGTGTGAGATTGTTCTTCTGACCTACAACTTATTATTTACTAAGGAAGGTAGACTGAGCGCTGGTATAGATCTAGAAGACAAAATATTAATTGTGGATGAAGCACATAACATCCATGAGACCATCATACAGCTGAATTCTGTAGATATAAAGTGGATTGAAATCAGAAGAATATTATATTCGAAGGGAATTTCTAAAGAATTAAAATTAATTATAGAAAGACTTTTGGAATTCTATAAGAGGGAGTTTAGTGATAAGAAAGGTGAATTCAACAGGGAATCAAGGACAAATGAAAAAGTATACAAAATTTGTAAGTTTTTAAAAGAAACAAAGCTGATTGATTTCAACATGTTAGAGATTGATGAATATATTCGAACTCAAAGAATTGCACAGAAGAATGATTTAAACTCCATCTTTGAATTTTCTAAATTTCTAAAACTACTAACTTTTAGCGAAGACAATTCAATCGTGGTTTCTAATCAAAATTTTATTAGATTCACACCATTGGATCCAAAATTATACTTTGAAGAACTAAAAAAATGCAGATCTATTTTGTTTGCAGGAGGTACCATGGAGCCAGTCGAACAAATACAGCAAATCTTCCCTGAGTTGAAGTATTTTAGCTATAACACCATCAACGACAGATTTCTACCACTTATAGTACCTGAGACAGTTAGTAAAAAGCCCATATCATTAACTTACTCTGAAAGAAATGAATTGATCGATGATGTTATCAACACTTTGATTACCCTGACAAACCCTATTCAATCTGGGGGGATAGTAGTTTTTGTACCTTCAAAGCAGTATCTTTCGATGATCAGAAACAGTTCTAAAGTGGTGTATTTTAAGAGAGATATTCTATTTGAAGATCAGTCGACGCTTGATCAGTTTAAAAAATCACCAAATATTTTGGTGGCTGTGATGGGAGGGAAGCTCAGTGAGGGAATAAACTTTTCTGATGATCTATGCCGACTGCTTATCATCATGGGCGTGCCCTATCCCACCAAGACTGTTGAATTTGAAGAGAGGAATAAATTCAATCCAGATTATGGAACCAATGCTGCAATGAAGTTAGTAAATCAGGCCCTTGGAAGGGCTGTAAGACATAAAGAAGACTATTCTGCTATGGTTTTATTAGATAGTAGATATTTGTGTTTAAAGGCAAAGCTTAGCCCATGGATTCTCAAGCGAATAGCCGTAGCGAGCTGTGTGGAAGCAATGGTCAAAATAAAAACATTTCTTACATCTCAGAGTTGAGGATTGATCGTAAAGCACAAAATCAAAAAGTTAATAACTGGGAAATCTAATCATATCTATCTTTAATAATTCTTCATTAATACTCCCCCCCCCTCATATACATTATTGCCCATGATCAGAACTTGATGAGTCTACAATATCGCGCTTGGGCTTCATATTTTGTTTCTTAGCGAGTTTGGTCTTCCATTCAGGATAGAAATCAGGTGTTCTGGTCATTAATTTTAGAGTAAATCTAGGTCCTATTTCTTTAAAACCAACCTTGAAATTCGTCTCTGTGTCCTCAAGGAAAGTGCAATACTGTCGAATATAAATCAAGTCCCCTAGTATCGCTACGTGAATACATCTTTTCAATCTATCATGGTGTTCTTTGCCAAATTCTTCAAAAAGATGGACAATCTCTCTCGTTTTGGAACTTTCTAGTGTAGAATCAGTGGTATCAAATGTAACAATTGGATATTTGGAAAATATTTTTTTGTCAAAATTTTTATAATTATCTTCGTACTCGATAATCTGAAATCTGTATGTTGGTCCACACGGGCGAATGCCTATCTGAATCTCCTTTTCAGAAACTATTGCTAAGTGACTTAGCAACAATCTATCGGCTTGCTCCATAATTGCCTGAAATCTGGGACTAAATTCCTTCAAATTCGCTAAACAGTCTGGCTTAAGGAGAATTCTCAGTTGAGTACACATTTTCTTTACTCTCTTCGATGGTGCTTTGGAGGTTATAATCAACTTGTTGGTTAAACAGCTATTCTGAACTTTATCAATCGATCTTTTCTTAAATATTTTCGACTTCTTGATGAGTTCACCCATTTGGGTGAAAAATTCAACTTGGCAAAATATCTTTAATTAATACCAATGTGTAGAAGTTAATAAATCACACATTTCATAGTTTTGTTCTATGGACAATAGATGTTAGTAGCATAAAATTTTGCTGTGTTTGTTCGGTATCAAATACCTAACACTACCAAATTTCACAAATATTTCAATTGACTTTATAAATGATCACTCTCATGGTTTTGTTTTCTGGACAATGATATTAAAAAATCCATTTCTGATGAAATTTTTAACATAGAAGAATGCTGTTCAAGCCCATTCTCATCGATTATAGCTGATCTTCAATAATAAATAAAGGCATATGACTCACAATGTACAAGAAGTAATGTCCTCAAGGACAGTATGATAATATTATTGTTGTAGAAAATGTTACTGGATGATGAAAGAGAAAATAAGACTAATATGGACAGTTAGTACCGTGGTTAACTTTCTTAATCATTTTATTGTCTGTCTCGGCTTAAGCAGTCCATTTGATTGTGCTCAAATCAACCCCTGACTTAACCATTTCATACAACGGCGACATCTCTCTTAGAGAGTTAACAGAATCAGCTGTTGCCGTAGCCAACTCTTCAACATCTGCCTCCTTTGTAAATCGTCCAATTCCATAGCGTATTGAAGAATGAGCCAGATCATCTGAGGCACCAATAGCTCTTAGCACATATGATGGTTCCAGTGAAGCAGAAGTACATGCACTACCACTCGATAAGGCAAAGTCTTTCAAACGCATTAGAAGACCCTCACCTTCAACATATGGAAATGAGATGTTTATACACCCTGGTATTGTATTCTTTCCATTCATAATAAAATCTTCTCCCATTTTTTCCTTTAGTATTGCCAAAAGCTTTTTATTTAGTTTGGTGATGTATTCTGAATCACTATCCATTTCTTTTTTTGCAATCTCCGCAGCTTTACCCAATCCCACAGCAAGAAATGGAGGTGTAGTTCCACTTCTAATTCCTCTTTCTTGACCACCTCCATGAAATAATTTGCTCAGGCGAACTCGTGGATGTCTGCGAACATAAAGGACTCCAATGCCCTTTGGTCCGTAGATTTTGTGGCCTGAAATGCTCATCAGCCCAATGTTACATTTTCTAACATCAATAGGGATTTTTCCGAATCCTTGTGCTGCATCTGTGTGAAAAATAATGTCATGTTCTTTACAGATCTGCCCAATTTTCTCAATTGGGTTGATAACACCAATTTCATTGTTAACAGTCATCAATGAAATCAATTTTGTATTTGGTCTTATGGCAGCCCTCAGCTTATCAAGACAAATACTTCCATCTTTCTTAGACGGTAAGTATGTTACCTCAACACCAGTCTCTTCTAAATACCTACATGTTTCCAAAATTGCCTTGTGCTCTGTCTGAGACGTAATTATATGTAGTTTGTTGTTGAAATATTCTGCAACACCCTTCAAAGCTAAATTGTCCGATTCAGTGGCTCCGCTAGTAAAAATGATTTCCTTTGGATCACCATTGACCAAACTGGCAATCTGAGCCCGGCTATTTTCAACTGCATTTTCTGCTTCCCAACCAAATGAATGGTTTCTACTATGTGGATTCCCATAGAATCCAGTAGCATATGGCAGCATAGAATCTAGAACGCGTGGATCTATTGGAGTTGTCGATTGTAAGTCGAAATATTTTGTAGGGGTATGAACTATAGACTCTGGTACTGCTCTTGAAATACTACTCGATGTGCTAGTTGCTGGAATCATTTGGGACAGTAAATATTTTGAAAAAAATTAATTTGTTTGAAAGACGAGGTTTTTATATTCCAAGTATATTCATTACAAGCCGGCATTTTGACAGTAATAAATTATCTTTTTGATAGATTTAATTTGGAGTTGTTATCATCTGTGTTTCGAACGAAGAAGTTGGTGGGTAGAGTGTGATATATTATACTTGAAGAAGATGTAGTCATCATTTTATCGCTATATTCTCGAAAGGAGATTTTTTTATTGGTGGTAATTAGTGAAGTTGTATCTATCAATTTGAAAAATTCAAGGTTTTGCTTTGGATTAGTTGATTTGATTATTTTTGAGTCTAATATTCTAATAGAGCTGTCCTCAGAATGCATATCTACAATTTGATTTCAACAAATATTTTAATCCCACAGAATGGATAGTTTGAAAAAATTTGAAACCAGCCGAGTTGTCAAAAATTCGGATTTGATCATTGCTATTGGGGAGATTGACAATCAAAAAGCAATTTATTTGGTGCCATCTATTAAAATTACTGACAAACAACTCAATCAGATAGTTTTGGAAAAAAATAATGAGTTGGCCAAGGTTGTAAAGAAGCCCATTTCCACGACCCAGCTTGAAAATTTCGTTATGAAAATGCCTATTCACAGCAGGTTGATCTATCCTGCCACCAAAAAACATCTTAGAAAGTATTTTAGTGAATATATCTATAGAACCGAAAGTTATGATGAATATCAGCATAATTGTGAAAATTTAAAATCAACATGGATAGATGATATCGCTAATGGAAAGTCACAAGGAGAAAAAATTTATTCTGATTCCGAAGAGTATTTGATTATAGATGATTATAAATGGAATGAATCATATGGAGTGGACAACTTATATATGCTGGTGGTTTTCAAAGATGCTAGATTAAGGTCTGTCAGGGATATTAACGAAACCAGTGATATTGATTTGTTGAAGAAATGTAAAGTGGATGTTTTGTCTGTTTTAGAGAAATTCACACTATTAGAGGAGAATGTGTTGTTGTTCTTCCATTATCGTCCTAGCTACTTCAGATTGCATCTTCATGTTGTAAATATTTCCAACAATGCCAAATTTGTTGGAAGTCAAGCCAGAAATATCCTGTTGGATGACGTCATCAGAAATATCAAAATTGATGGAAATTTTTATAAAAAGGATATGTATTTCTATACAAATGAAAAATAAATCATTTTCGATATGTAATGAAAAAACACTTTTATTATCAGTGGTATTTCGAATAGCCAACAAATGTGATGAACTTTATGGGGCAGAAATGTTTATTCAGCTTTGTCTCAAACAACGGTAATGTTTAATTTATTGGATGTTATCGTATTCATATTAACTTTTTCACAGTTTCCTCAGTAAAGGCAAATTCAGATTCATCAGGGAGCTCACTGATTTCTTGATATTCAAAAAACTCTTCATTCTTCTCTGAGTTTGCATCAAAAATACTCCTAAGGTGCACGAAGTTTGATTCATCTTTTGTAGTTTCTGTAAAGATCAATCTGATCACGGCCGACAAAACAATCGTGAATGATATGATTCTAATTACGTTGCAAAAATCCTTGACAAAAAGTAGAATTCTCGACTTGTCATTTGTAGAAATTATTAAAAAAATTATTCTATAAGCAACTTCTAAAAGGAAGCCAAATGATATCATTTTGCAGGAATCCTTAAATACCATCAAAATATGTTCAAACGAAAACCGATCAACTCTTCTATGATTTTCCATATATGCTTTTGTGGCTTCTACATGCATTGACAGACTAATGAACAGAATTATTAGGACTATTGATTCGGTAATGGCGAAGATCTCTCCCAAAAGTATAAATAAGTCATATTTTTTTCTGATATTTTTTAAAACAATTCCAACTGGGAAGCATCGTACAAGACAATAGCTAAAGAGTGTGAATCTCTTGTAGAATTCAAACTTGGATGCAAGATTTCCCAATGTCTGTAGAATAATATCAATATTTAAAAATACAAGTGTTTTCACAATATTTTCGGATAGAATCTGAAATATTTTATGACTCCGTGTCTTATAATTTGTATCGTACTCCCAAGTAGGAAGCTTATATGATGATTTTAAGGTTAGGAACTGATATATTGCAAATGTAACAATGGTGAAAAATGACATCAGTTGTAGGTTCATCTGAGTTGTTGATGGTGATTTTTGCCTAGGTAGATAAGTTATGAAAACCATGATCATCAGAAACAGAACAAACAGGCTGGTTGCAGACACAACTGGCTCAATTACAATATACATTGTTTTCTTTGTCATGCTGGATTAAGACAGGTTGTTTCAAGATAAAAATATTTATTTTCTGAAACAGACATGAAAATGTATCAGCAAATGACTAATCCACAAAATATTTGGATTATTGCAAGAAATTATAGTTCATCGCCTGTCAAATACCTGAAACATGATTATCTTGAACATTCAATTGATCAGTACACAGAAATACCAAAAGATTCAATGGCATTGTAATCATGGTTATAGGTAGCAATCAACTACTCTTCTCACAGATTGTGGCTAAAGCATAGCGGTATATCCTGTTGGGTAAAAGGTTGAGAAATAAAAAAATTATAAAATGAGGACTGTAAGGAACTGTATAGTAGTGATTTCCAAAAATATTCAAAACAGATTCTACGAAACTCTTTGCAGTGGGAATTAATATAGATGGCTGTCTATTGTTGCTGATAAGAGATAGAAATCCTGCTTCCATATACTCCACTGTAATTTTATCATAAATAAATTCATACTGAATTGCCATTGACCATGTTTCCACTGCAGCAGTAACTGCAGACATCATTAAATAATGAGAAGGTGTATGGCAATCGCTATAGGCAAATCCTATATTGATAATAGCACCATTTTGTTGAAATTTCATATATTTAATGACTGTGTTGGTTAGCAATATGATGCCATTTACATGTCTATTGATACATGCTGTGATTTCAGAAGGGCCATAGTTACTAGGTGTTGATACCTCATGCCCAATCATGTTTATTACCAGTCCAATGTTATGCTTTTCTATAAAATAAAAATTCCTACAAGTCTCAAAATCAACGGTATATGAGATAACTTTGACCTTGGCTTCCAATTTGCGCTTCAGCTCTGTCAATTTATTACCATCCTTTCCAAAGATTATGAGATTATGATTTCTAATGGCTATTGCCTCACAGAATGCTTCACCGACTTCCGATGTAGCATCTGTAATCAAAACCCATCTCGACATAATATTGTTCCATGCCCTATAATTGTGATATATTGAATATATTCGAGTATATATTGGTATAAAACAATTTAAAATTACACATATCAGAATTGTTTTAAGGATCAATTTTAAAACCATAAGGGTATAGAAATTTTTCAGATTAAACAGTCCTCTAAGTCCAATAAAGCAAGTCCTACTGAAGGATTTAATAATACACTGTATTTTAGATGCTTGATGCATTTTCATCAATATTAGACAATATTTATTTTTGCCAATACGAGATTTATTGAGAACAATTAGAATCTTGTAGCATATTTTAAACGAACAAGTTAATATGGAAGGCTTATATAGTAGGTTATTTACCAAAAAACCATAAAATGTACACCAAGATTTCCATTAAAAACAATATATTGATTTAAACAACCACATATATAGTGAAAATTCAAATAAAACTCTAAAACAATGAATCGTCCATTTACAAAAGTTTATTTTTGATCATTTGAAATATTGATTAAGATATCCCTTGTAAAATCTACCAACAATAAATACAGGTACCATTCTCACAACAATCCATTGCAGCAAATGAGGGAAGTATGGTATCGAATGGTTACTATTACCCAGAACAGTCAAAACGGACTTAGCAAAAGCTTTTCCAGTGGGAACAAAGAATGTTGGCTTCCGTTTATTATACTCATCTGAAACGAATCCACTAGCCATGAACTCAGTGTTTATTCTATCGTTGAGCAATTTATTGTAAGTGTTGGATGTCCATATTTTAATTGCTGATGTGACAGCGATACATGTGGGTACATATATCAGAGGAATTCTATTGTTGAATCCAAATCCTATATTTACGATATATCCAGATAAATGGTACTTCATATTTTTTACTACAGTACGAGTTAACAGTAGAGTACCTTTTAGATGCTTATCAATAATCCCCCTTATATCACTATCTCCATAATTTACAGAGGGCGATTCGAAAAACCCAATTTTGTTAATTAAGAGTCCGATGTCATGCTTTTCTAAAAAATCAAAATTTGTGCATGTTTCGAAATTAACTTTGTATGCCAACACCATTGTTTTTTTCTCCAAGTTTAGCTTTTGAATGGCCAGTTTATCCTCATCTTTGTCTGTGATAATTAGTTTGTGGTTTTGATCAGCCAGGATTTGGCAAAATGATTCTCCAATTTCCGTGGTGGAGTCAGTAATTAGAATCCAACGGCCTTTGATTTTCCTCCAAACCTTGTTGTTATGGTAGAGTGAATATACATGCGAATATATTGGTGGTAGAGCAATTGAGGTTATATATAATAGCAAAAGACTCAAGACTT